GAGAATCTATTGTGCCTAGTCATTTTGAGATGACCTTACAGTCTGTGTGACCAGTGATGTAAGATCATGACATTTGTCTTCTGAGAACATTTTCATGTTCTTTACGTGACCATTACATTGCAGCCGAGTACAGTCAGTTCTGTGGGTTTTCCCCTAACATATGGTTTTTATTCTCACAAAAGTAAATGTGTTGGGTTTTTTTTGTTTTTTTTTTTGTTTGTTTTTTTCATATGATGGGGGCCAAATTCTGCTTTGAGCTCTACCTGCATAGACAAACTGAATTCACTCCCAAGTTCCACCACTTTATGTGGCATCTGTGTTTCCCCCAGGAGCAAAGATGTGCATTTCTTGTTTATGTTCAAGTTAGCATGTTGCTATTTGTCTTCCTTTTTTTCCCCTAATTAATCCTATGGTAACAAGATAATGCAAAATGACAGGCTATGCAACTGAGCTCTGCTAGTCTTCCCAGCAGAAGACCTAGGGATGAGATGTTTTCTAGAGGACGGAATTCTCTTTAGCAAACAGCATCGGATAGCTGGAATAAGGTTGGGTAGTTTGAATTCTTGAATTGCTTGAAAAATAATATCTATCTCTCTTCTTAGTAAAAATGTACTCATGTTAACTGATACACGGAATAATTTTGTTTCAGACTGATTCACCCTGATGACTTAGAGATCTCTGAAAGCGTAAGGGCTTGGGGTTATTTTCAGGTTTTTACCCTGTAGGTGTATGACAGCATGACATAGTTGATTGGATAGGTTCTGTATTAGCATGTAGCATTTCTTTTAATAGCAACGCTGCAGAGATTACTACTAAATCCAGGAAATATCATTTGGTTATCAAAGTAATCCACAAATTTTGGGAGGGAGAGGGAGAAAACGCTGTTTAATTTTTACTTTTTTTAATAAAAAGATACCTTAGGTTAATCCATTTTGTATGTCAAGAGGATAAATCTGACAGGAGTCAGAACAGCTCCAGTGGGACTAGCACTACAAGTTACAAAACAGCTAACATCATCCAAGACTAATTTCTTTCCCCTGTTTGTCCTACTGTGGAGGGAGAGTTAAAAGGCAATTCTTGGGGAGTTGAAAGGCTCCATAATAGGGCTCCTCTCTCTATGGGAGTAAAACTGCTTTGTGGCCTTTGTCTTCAGGCTGCTAATAAACCATCCCATGCTGTGAAGCTTTGAGTTCACTCTTAATTCAACTTCAGTTCAGTATCCATCAGCCTTGGTTTCCCTGTCTTAGCAAGCAGATTTTTTTTTTTTTTTTTTTCTTAAATACAAGGTGCATCTAACTTGTATTTGAGCTTTTTCATGATGATGCGTTACTCGATGCAATTTGGGCTTCAGCTGATTTATATGCAACCCCCCCCCATTCCCCTGTTATGTGACCAATCATTCAGTCATACATTTGTCTGCCTGTTGTTTCTGACTGTGTTTTTCCAGATAAGACCAAAATATAGTGCCTGGGTTTGTAAATGCCAAGTGATTTGCACTTGGCAAATTAGACAAGATCTGGCAAAAGATGGTTTTTCTTGGCCTAATGATAAAAGTGTCTGTGAAAGTCACATCCTTTTCAAATGAGCTTAAAAATAATGTCAGTTTCTGTCATTTGAAACAAAGTGGTGGTGCGATCTGTTCCAGTGAGCAATGCCCACATCTCTGCAGACACACTTCCAGTTAACAACACAGGAAAGACGTGGCTCAGGGTAGCACAAGCTTGCATGTCACTCTGACGGGGAGCAAGGAAAGGGGCTCATACTGGAGAAGGTGCTAGGCTAGGCTGGGTGAAGTATGAAGCATGTTTAATTTAGTAGTAGGCTGAAGCAAAAATCTGCTGTTAAAGAGTTGGGAATTCTCCACTACAAGGGGAAAAAATGGCGAGTATGTTGGGAATATCTCTCTTGCAGCCTTTTAAGAAGATTGCAGGGAAGCTGGATAGTCAAGGGGTTGATTTCTCTGAGTTGTCTCTTCATCTAATTTCCAAGAATTAATCTATTTTCTCTATCTTAATAAAAGTTGATTTTGATGGGTCGTATGAACCTGTAAACCCTCTGCGACTTTATGTTTTGATAAGATGGATAACAAAATTGTTGAGTTTTCACTTGAATATCTATTGATGTCCTCCCAAAAATATATCAGTGGGAACGCAAAATGGCATGAAACTTAAGGATGCAGCTAGAAGTTCTGTGTTTGTTTCCTTGCTCTGCTACGTGGTCTCAGGATAGAGACTTCCTTCCCTCACCCCCAGCCCATCTAGGGAAAGACTAAATACATAATACTCAGTAGTAGAGCTGCAGGAGGCTCATGTTTGGTCAACTGCTTTCTTTCTGTACAAAGCTACAGAAAACTATCTCTTTCTATGAATTTTAGGGTAAATGAGCTGGTCTTATGCTAGGTATTGGAGATCTTTGTCACGGTAATTTAACTTGGTTTCTGACTGAGCTGCTTTCTAATCTCTAGTAGCAGACACATTTACTCAAAGGATTAAGTCTTTGTTGTGTCATGAATATTTTAGGAATTGTTATTTCTAGATTGTTGTGTATATGGTTGTCTGCAGAATGATCTTCTGGTTCTTGGTTTTTAGTTTAATTCTAATCCAAAATGGAGCAAACCAGAATGTACTTGTGTCCCATTTCAAGAGAAGGAGGTTCAGCTAAAAAATTGCGGTGTTGGTATTGTATGTTTAAAAAAATAATAATAATAGAATCTAAATATTCCAAGAACTGGATGTGCAAATGAAAAGAGATAGTAGACTGTTTGGGGTTTGGAAAACAAGACAAAGATCCAGGTGGAAAAAAAAAAGGAAAGGCAAAAAAGGACAGACCACATAACAGATGGAAGATTAGCTTGAGAGTCCTTTATGCTTAGAAAGAATAGAGATGCAGAAAGGAAAATTCACAGGAGAGGTCATTACAAAACTAGATACGATATCCTTTGTCAGTTTGAGAGGTTTTTTGTTTGTTTTTAATGAGGGCATTAAAAATGTATTTCTTCAGATTTTTTTTTTCTTTCTCTTTCTGGATTCTTAAAAACCAGAGCTTGTTTTTTATTGACTGATCTTTTTAAAAGATTTTTTTTTCTCCTGCAAACCCTAATAAATAAGATCTAGCTATGGTTGGCAAGGAAGGAAATACTGTATTTTGAAATGTTGCCATCGGCCAGCTCTTTGATTTTAGAACTGAAAATCAAACTGACCTTCACCAGTTCTTCTAATGCAGCTAAGAACACATGTTGAGAGGGCAAAGGCTTGCACACGTAAATGTGATTTTGTACCCTTGGTTCATGCCAAAAGAAAGTACAATTATTCTCCGCTCAAAAGTCTCAGTGGGAACCCTGGCCATTGTCAGATGGGTGCTTTGTGCACATCTGCTGCATTGCCCAATGCTTGACTTGACTGCTCACCCTTTCATTGAAGATAAACAAGGAAATAGAAACTCCTGCTTCTGTAACTAAAAGGATATGAAAGGACACGTCCTCACTCGAAGCATTCTAGCAAAGAGGAGCCTAGCTTGGAACAAATGCAGAGGAACAAAATACACCCGTATTATCCCAGGTCAGACAGCTACTTTACATATATAGCTGTGCTACCTTGGTTAAAGAACTAATCTTAAGACTTTTTAAAACTTGTATACTTCAGAGTTTGGATACACAAGTACATCTCTGGACAAACATGCCAAGTGTGATCAGTGTGTATGCAAATGGTCTGCCATGCAGTCCTTCCTTCCTGTCCATCTCTGCCTCCTCTAAGTTGAATTCTGTAGGAGTCACTGTCAAATATTAGAAAGGCCATTTTCCAAATATGCAGTTTATTCATGCAAAATGGGGAATAACCAGCATATTTAAAAACACTATTTGGTTTTGTTGTTAAGAGAGCTTTCCTTTCATCCAGAAGTTGGTACCCTGGTAGATATAAGCAACGTTATTCAAGATATCTACCTGTTGTGTGACTGGGTAATAATTCTGATGAGAATGGTTGTGAAACTGCTTAACTGTGGATATGAAATTGGTGTAATTGTACATGCCTTCAAAGCAATGCTCACAGAAAAAAAAAAGGCAAAACCAGCTCAAGTAAAAAGAATAAGTAAAAGATCCATGACCAGAAAGTGGCAGAAGGGATAGGTCTGTGTACAGTACATGTAGTCAGCAGAGTCCCTCTGTGTTTTTCTGTGCTGCTGTGCCCTTTCACTTACATGTCCCTGTTTCCCTTCATGGTAATTCCCATCACATTTTGATATAATTGTTTCTTGCCTACAGTGTCCTTTTCCCCAATGTTTCAAGAAAGCTCACTTCCTTGGCAGCTAATGCCTTGGAAGTCATTTCCCAAAGAGGAGAAACATCAGTGCCAATTTAGGTGACACAACTTACCTTGCCTGATCTACAGTTACCTCTGCTCTATGGCAGTTGTCTGGTGCTGTATCTGTTGACCCCTGGCAGGCATATTGAATGCTACAGAGGTGCGTAAAATAGCACTACAATGCCTCTCTTCTTGCATGTGTGCTCAATGGTGTGTATTATGCTATTACACATCTAATTCTTGGGTGAAGCAAGGAGTCAAATTGTGACAACTTGGAAGCTTTGTAAATGCCAGAAGCGTTTTCCAGCAGAGGCAGAATTTAACTCTATATCCAATACTTTAAGTATACCTTATTTCTCTGGTCAATGTGTTCATTCTGTAAAAACTTAATCCTCTTAGCCTTATTTGATCAGGAGCAGCCCGATACAACTGATACAGCCCCAGCCATGGATTGCCTTTGTAATTCAGTGTAGGGCTACAACTCAGAAACTTTTGTTTACTGAAAGTTTGGGCGACAAGCTGGCTGGATAGTTGCCACGTCACCTGACTGCAGCCAGCTTGGTCAGAAGCAATTCCTAGACTTTGGGTACTGGTTATTTTATCCTCTGATTTAAGCTATTGGAGAAGTGTGTTTATAGATCATTGACTGAGTCTATACTTCGGGAACTGCCAAACAAATTGACTTCATTCTCACAATTTAAGGAGGCCTGATGAGAATGGAAGAAAAGTAGCTGATCGTACCATGAGCGAACACGACTTGAGGTAAAGTGGTCATGCACGTTTGCTGGCATGGTGTGTCTTGATTATTTCACTAACACACAGCTTTGAACTCCTCCAGCAGCATCATGTGTTACTTTCTGTGAACTTGCAGAACAAAATATTTATTCTTAGCTGTTGGGGAGAAATGAAAACAAGCAAAGACGTCATTGCCATCACGGGAACTAGATTTAGTGGTTGTGGCTGTCTGGGGCAAATATTTCCATGTAGGCATAAAATGAAAAGGCTTTAAAAAAAGAAAAACAAAAACAAGGATCCTCAGTTAAGACTTCAAGGTAGTGTCGCTGTTAATTAGTGAGGATGAAGAAGCCAGTGAGAGATTCTGAGCTCCAATTGCCCTTTATTTACTGTTTGAGCTCAAAAGCCACACACTATTTTTGTTCTAAACCTTGGTTTGGGTTGTCCATGAGAAGCAGCTGATATCCTTTCTGAGGACTGGATGAAATTTCAGTTTTGTTTGACGTGTTTGGAATGGTCAACTCAGTTGATATCACAGACATCAAACTGCACTGGCATACAACTTAGAAATGATCCCAATGGAATCCTAAGTTTCCATCAGTGGAAAATGTGCTCTCAGCAAAGTCAAACATGGGGATTGTGATGAACTGTCAAATAATATTGTGTATGGGATGCATCTCCTATATGTGAACCTTCTAGATAGAATATTTCATTACTTATTTCATGCAGCATTTTGCTTACTCATAGCACTCATTTCTGTCTTCATCCTGAAGGAAAAGAAAATAGAGACATGTTTCATTGTAGGACGCTACTGGATTATTATATTGGTATTACAGTCTTTCCTGTTAAAGAGGAAGTTCACTAAGTCTTCTTTGATGGCTGTTCAAGGGGATCCTGGACAAATTCTAGCTGGGAGGCTGCTGTTCATCTCAGTCTGTTTTCTCTCTAGCATAGCAATAGTTTATCCTTAAAATTTATTGAATAGAGTTTACCTCATGTTGAGTACAGGCCACCGCTTCATACCAGTTTCATAAATGAAAACCACTATCAACAGAAACTGTTATTGCTGGTAGCTATCAGGTTTATGTCATTTGGTGTTTCCACACAATGTCTCCTTGATGCTTATGTAATCCTTTTCCTAAGCAACTCACCCTGCTTTTCACTTTGCAACTCGCCCTCTTTATTCCTGCTTCGATCAGCATGAGTAGAAGATCAGAAAAAGCTGCTTATTTATCATGCTCACAATACGTGTGTCGGGCTGATACAACTAAAAACGCTAAATCCCTTGAAGAAATAACTGAACCAAGTAAGACTTCCCCTTTTAGTAAGAGCTCCAATGGGAATGCAGTTCTAGTCGGTCTGCTACGCCATGAAGTCTGCAGAACCACTGCGAGATGATGAGTTGGTTGCTAGTTTGAATAGTAGCACAAAACCACTTAACAAGCTTATCCTTTTGTTGCATAAAAATGTTTGTTCCTATCTACCATCATAGCCGTTAGGTCATGCACTGCAGAGCTGAAATACTTTATCAACTATTTTCTAATAGAAAGTTTGTTCTTCCCTGCCTTGAACCTAGGTATAGTTCTAGTCTACAACAGTATCTTGAATTATTTCAATCCTGTGGGAAAGTATGGGGAAAGGCAAACAATTTTACATTCCATTGCTACAGGTGGACGGGCTAAGATATTTATTGAAGGGATTTGGCTACTGTTATCTCAGGAAAGATAGTTATGTATTTCTGAAAGTAATTTTTTGTGCAGTTGACCTCCTGATACTCTCTGGCACATAAAAGCAAATAAACCAAACCAACATCAGGGTGTAAGGTTTTTTTTTTTCACTCTAATAAATAAGAATTAGATCTTATGGTCTTCACCTCTGAAACTGGCTGAGATTTTTCTGTAATTTTCCTTTACTAACTCAAAAATATTATTGAGATATCTACTTCAGCATTGCCTGTTGCTTGTGTCTAACAGAAAGCCATGCCGTGGGTTTGAGGAGAGCTCTGAATGGTTGCATAGACACAGCATGTTATTTCTTTACCTGATGCCTCTTTTTCTAATATTCAGAGCACCTATCCTAAGAAGTAGGCTGCAAAATTTGATTACATTAGTGTGTAGGTTGTCCTTGCTCTTCATTTGTGTTTAGATGCAGCCTTCTTACTTCATCTGAGGAGCAGTGTGGGGTAGAGCTGGACCACTCTGTGATCCCTGCCAGCCTCCAGGACAGCACTGAAGATAACAGAGGGAAATATATTCTTTTATCTATTGAAAAAGACTTTTTTTTGTTTGTTTTGAGATGAGTAAGAGACACTGAAAGAGTGGGCTGATGTAATATTAGCTATTCTACCTCTGCAAAATTAATGTCATCTTTAACAGTATACAGGATAATTCTTTCCTATTCATTTTGTTTTGCATTGAAGGTACAAAAGATTCTAAAGGGTGATTAATGAATAGAGGAACAAATGTGTTGAGGGACAGGCTGTGGTGAGAACCAGTGGTGATAGGTGGACAGTAGGACTGGACAATACTGTATGTCTTTTCCAACCTTGGTGATTCTATGAAATTTATTACTTATAACTTTTTGGAAGTACTTGGCATTGACCTTCATGTAATGCCATTCAAGTCTATAGGAAAAAAAAATACAGATTTGGAAACAGTTTTACATCAGTGTTCTCTCTAACAGAAAAAAACAAAGTCCAATTACACTTGCAGTGTAAATAAGTGGGAGAAATTAAAGCAGAGAATTTTTGAGTGTAAGTTGCAGCAAGATTGAATATGTTATCAACTTTTGCACTGCTCTGAGGTTAACCTGTACTTTTGGAAGGATGGATGGCTGTAGCATCTGTGGAGAGCATTTAGCTGAACTGGAAATAAATCATCAATAAAAAGAACGGAAGAATGGAATCAATACTAAAACACACAAACATAAACACTCACACTTGAAAAAATACCAAAATGGAGACAACTGTTGAGCCTCAGGGTTTACTAGCTCTTACAAACTGCTCTGTCAAAACTGCCTGGAAATAGGATTTCTTTCTTTGAAGCATTTGGCCTTGGATGACTCGTAGACCAGTTTGATCCAAAATAAAACTCCTCCTTTTAGAACTAAAAGCCCACTCATTGCTAACAATAAGAGAAGATTAAAACATATTTACAAATACGTTAACAGGAAAACACTAGGCATATTGATAACAATAATGTTGTAAGCTGCTGATATTGTTAATGAAAGCAATTTTATGAATCTTATCATACAGAAATGGAATTACGGTTCCATACACCAAACATTAAGAACAGAACCAAAGATACTTTGTCTAATCTGGACTTTTGATTGCTAGATCTTTTTTTTTTTTTTTCTCTTACACTGTACTGTGAGAAAATCATTCTGAACCTTTTCAAATAGCCTTCCATAACGTTCACTTACCAAAATAAGATTCATTATATAAGGATACAGTTGCTGATGTTTAAATCTAATCTGTTATTACCGCGAAACTTTTCTGAAGTCAGTTTGAACTCTCCAGAAGTGTTTCTTTGATCTCGAGGAAGATATCCTAGTGATTAATGGTACCGATAAGGTGTTGATTGGTGCTTGGAGAACCTATTCATAGAAACAATAGACTATTATACTCTACTTTAACTACCACATAACAATATTTAAGCTTTACTCCTTAGAAACAGTAGTCTTATTTATACATCCCTGTCTGCCTCTGAACCAATATTACCACTTCTGGCTTCCTATTATGTTGAAAGCATACACTAACGTCTTCAGTGCTCAAATAGATCAGTTTACAGTAAAAATAAATAAATAAGAAATAGAATGGTAGAACTACTAGCTGTACTTTGTAAGTCATCTGAGGAGTGTTTTAAGGTTTGAGACTTCACAGGGTAAAACTTCCTTCTTTTTGAGTTAGGATGTACAAACTGTGTTTTTTAGTTTTGCACTGTTGCTGTAGATAAAAGCACCAGGAGCACCAGATTTCTTACCAATACCAAAATCATTTGAGAAGATCAAACATACCTCAAAGACAAAAGCACACCAACGCCACTCCAAAAACCTAGAACATCTGCTCTTCTCAAATGTGAGTATATGATTCTGGAAGCCTAACAGTCAAAACCTTGTAGCATACAGAGTGTTCTTGTTGTTAGGCCGTTTAGCTTGTGCAGAGAAGAGTTTGCAGATTGTCAGACTGCTTGAGCACTGAATTCCTAAATGGAGCAGAGCACAGACTTGTCATGCTCTGTTCACACTGCTTCACTTTAAGAATAAAGAAACAAGCCTGAAACCCCTCCTTCCTTAGCCGGGGTGTTGGCTGTAGTTTAGCAAAGATGATTTTCAAGAATCTATCTATGGACTTGGGAGAAAAGATGAAATTACTACATGGATGATGCAAAATCTGCACCTACCTCAGCATGAGAAGTATTTGAAGATGGTATCATTTTCATTCACCGTAAATTTGTGCGCACTAGAATTAGGCCTGAGTACAGAACTACATCTTAAATAGCCCATGCACTTAATCCTCCAATTATGTTGTCTTTATGCAGAAGTGCACCACGGGAGAGAGGAAAAATGATTCTTGGTGCTGTATCAAAATACATACTGAGAAGTAAGTGGTCTGAGTTATTCAGACTAGAGCAATAATTTGCAGTATGTAACCTCAGTGTTTTTCATGTGATAGTAGTTACTTTAAACCACCAATAATGTGGTGCAATTTCCACAATACTACTCTTAATGTACAACATGCATGCCAAGCTCCTTAAGGGTTCAGCAGAGGCCACTTGCTGTACTACGGAAGCTGAGCTATACATTTTTAAAGTAAACCTTTCTTTTTCTGTTTATTAGCAGGGCTCATCTTTTAAAGCAGGCTCTGTAGAGAAGAGGGAAATCATGGACTGGAAGAAGCCTTCAGTTTGGAGAAGGATTCAGGAGATGTTCTGGTAGCTAGCAAGGCTTACTGAAGGGAATGGGCTCAAGGAATGAGAAAATGAGGATCTAGAATACTGATCTCTGATGAGGGAAGTCTGTCAGTATGT